GTGCGATCTACCTCTCTGGAGGAGTGTCCTTGCTGGGTGAAAGCCTTTTTAAGATTGGTGAGGTGGCGATCCCGGGTGTTCTCTTCAGTACAAATGTGGTGGTATCTGAGGGCTTGGCTGTATATCACTGCTTTTTTGGTGTGTTTAGGGTGATTGCTGGTTCTGTGCAGATATGTATGTTGGTCTGTGGGTTTCTTGTATACTGTGGTCTGTATTTTACCCTTCTGGATACTGATCATTGTGTCTAAAATGGAGATGTTGGTGCTGGAGTATTCTAAAGAAAGTCGGATGGAGGGATGGTGATTGTTGAATTTCTGATGGAACTCAATCAGAGATTGTAGGTTTTCAGTCCAAATGATGATGTCATCGATGTATCTTAAGTATAGCAAGGGTTTGATGGTGCAGTTCTTGAGGAAGTCTTCTTCCAGGTGGCTCATAAAAAGGTTGGCATACTGTGGGGCCATTTTAGTGCCCATAGCTGTTTCCCATCATCTGGAGGAAGTGTTGATTATTAAAAGTGAAATTGTGTGAGAGGATGAATATCTTTGGGCCTGTATTCTTAAGCCACTCAGAAGCCCATGAGGGCATTTGGTATATTGGATGAGATATATTACATTTCTGGAGGTGCAGCTGTAAGATCCAGGGATGCTGATGGCTCTGTTGTGGGATGTAGTAATTGTGGGAGTGGTGGAGATGTGGGGGCAGGTTTTGCATTTCTTGTCATGGCACGGTCTGGATCCTTTTGGTGTGTTCTGGGCTTGAGGAAGTTTGCTTCTGGTGATGAGGTTGGCGAGGGTCGGTGCTTGTTTGCAACACGGCTACAACCTACACCCCTGGTCATACCCAGTTCACTCTCCCTTTCAGCATCCACTCTATGGCCACTGTGTGACACAGGATACTGGTCTGACCCATAAATGGCAATTCTTATGTTCTTATGACCATGTTTTGAATGAGCTGAGAATCACAGCAATATGTAATATACCTGCTAATGCCATTTAAAGGAATAATATCAAGGTTGCAATATCAACCAATCAAAAGTTAGGAAATTCCTGAATGAAGGTTGCTGATGAAAGACTCCTGTATACCACAAGGGAAAAGACATATGGTGCACAGACAGCTTTAACTCTAGCATTTTCTAAGTTTGGAGTATTTGACTTTGCCAGTTCTAGTTCTCTCCTTACATCTCGGGTTCTCATCAGATATGTTCCAAACACTCTCTTTAGTGATTTTCAATCCCAATCTCCCCAGGTCTTCATCTCATTTTAGCAGCTTCCTCAATCTTCTCCCCTATTTCCCTTCCCAACTCACAGTTCTAGTTTTTTTGACCAACCAGTCCCAGTGATTTCCATCTGACCTGAGACTCCTTCCAATCTACCCTTGCTCTCATGCTTATACCTGGTCCAGCACTTACCATCACTTTCCACATTTTCCTCCACCATGTCACCTGGCAATCAGCCATAATTTTAAACCTAAGATTGTCTGTCTCTGCCAGTGCCCAGACCACTTAGGTCACAGCAATCCTATGGAGCTCCTCTATCCCTGCCTGGAGCATGCTCAGCATTTTTGCAGGGAGAATACTAGTACAGTCTCTGGTGCTCTGATCTAGGGGCTGCATCATGCTCAGCATGGATGGAACCTTTGGGGATTTCAGCTGTGAGGGTCTGAGAAGAGCCTTCTGAAAACAGCAATTTTCAAGATCCTATTACATAGCCCAATGAGTGTTTTTTCTTGAGAATAAGAGACAGCAAATACCTCACGCAATGACCACTCAATGCAAAATGTCATGTCATTGCTCATAAGCATAGTGACTGTAGAGTTTCTGCAATTAATAGTTCTAAGATTTTTTTTGTATGGAAAAAATACATTTTCCCATAATCATGTTTTCAGAAGTAACTAAACTATTTTGGTTGAAATTTTCATAAACATTCAGTTTGGTACAGATACCTAGTACGGAAAACATTAGCCCAACTACTTAGAAAGAATGTTTCAGAAATTCTTACCATCTTCGTTCCTTGGTTGCTGAGGGAACATATAATTAGTAAGCACTGTTTTCTGTGTCTCTGGATCAAGTTCTTTTTGAAGGGGAATTAGCGCTTTAGACTGAAAAAGCAAAAATCAAAAGAATACACACGTATAATGGGTAAATAGGATATAAAATAGGTAAATCCCTGCTATTTACCCGCACAATACAAAGTATAATTCTGAAGATATAAACTGTCTGACATTAACTCCTATATATTGTTCTCTGAAGAATGTTTAAAAGCTATACAAGTAAAAGTTATATCAAAGAAGTATGGATGAAAAAGGTCTTGCATTCAGAAGCTTGTTGAACTCAGTCCCAACTCTGCAGCTGGACCAATAAAAGATACCACCCTAAGAAAATCCTTGCCTCCTTCACCAAAAAGTATACATTTTATAATGCTGGCTTGGGAATTTTGTGAACACAAGTTCCATATAACAGTCTCTTCATTATTGACAAAATACTGGAAATCTGTACAGGAAAATATCTGGTTTCATTCCAGGATATTTCATAGTCTCAGATTATTCCACATGGAACAGACTTCATCTATTTAAAACCACAGGGGAAATATATATACATAGAACAATTTTATACACAAGAATTTGATCAAGACACCTAGTTCAGCACCCTTCTCTAACAAGAGTGCAGGGATCTTGAAGGCAGAAATATTGCATGTCTACTGATACTCCTTAGTATACCACTCTACATACTGGTTCAGTACAGAAGACATGACTACACAGGGAAGATAGAGTATAGTAAGCTAGGTAGTGAATTTATAGCTTATCAGCTACTCTGTATGAATGTTCCACATGGATGCTCTTAGTAAGCAAAATGTTGACTAAGCAGACTTACACTAAAGTAAACACCAAGGACCAGGTGCTGTTCTACTTAACTGACATCTAAGTGGGATCTATTCCAGCATACTGAATTCCCTGAAGAAACAAGTAGAAAAGGAAGTGATCCTAAATTTACAGATGAGGAATAATGCAGAGCAGTTAGCATGCTCTGAGTTATGACCCTATCTTCTCCGTCTGCACAAAACCCGACATTATCTGCTCTGGCACTGAGAGTTTGCTTGGAATTTAAGTCTTCCACTCAAGTGGACACAATGCTGTTTACTTAATGGGAGTTGACAAAATGTAAACACCAAGGTGGTATATGTGTATACACAGAAAATCACTTTTTATGTAGCCGATAACTCCAGAAATTATCTATATCTCTTAGGAACAACTTCAGCAAGATCCAATTATCCAAATATATTTAAAAAAAATCTGTTCACCTGATTGTCTGATAGCCACATAGCAGTCAGCTGTTGCAACTTTGTAAAGCTAAAGGGCAAATTCTTCAGTCTGTGAAAGAAACAAATGACTATTTACAATGAGACAATGTAATCTGAGCATGGGTGCCACAACTAATGGCCTATTCACAAACAATGCCTTATTTGTTTTCTTTAACAAGCTTGCAAAACATTTAAAGAAACTGCTGTCAGACAAATAAATGGGTAACGACTTGAGGCACAAGCATTAATTTAAATTAAATGCTAGTGCTGTGCAGAGAGAGTATGTCTGAATGTATGTTCTTAACATGGGTTTGCCAATCGAGTTAAATTAGTAATGAAGACAAAGTAACCAGAATTTTAATTTAGTTTAGTAACAAAAGGGCACACCTATAGAAAATCTTTTGTTTGAACTTGAATTGCTAATGCAAATTAAAACCAAAGTTACTTGTTCACCTGCTCTTTTAACACAAGTTAAGAAAACACTTATAAAAAGAGAAGGAGAGAAAGAGAGAGTAGGCAAACCCCAAAGGTATTTCTGGATCATTTTAATATTTAGTTTCTTTTCAAATAGGAATGAAACCCCAAAATTTCCATGAAAAGTATTGGAGTTGCAGGTGGCTACCCTTAAGTCTCAGAACTTGGAAAATGCTAGGGTCCCCTCACTCTGAGGACCATTCTGCATCATAAGGTTGTCAAGGAGCTGGACAAATAAGCTGTTAAAGTTCTATTCAAGCTTTACCTTGCTCAAAAATAAGCCTGTCACTTCAAAATGTCTCAATTTCAAAGATTTTTCTTGCTGTTTTTGTTGGAATGTTACTGATCAGTGCAAGTAAAATGAAAGATATGTTTCACAATACTGTAATAACAGATTGTGTCCTGTGGCCATGCCATTCAAGGTTTAGCGGAAAGATACATTTTAAAAAATATCAATATCAAACTCCGAAAACAGTAAAGGTTAATAAACTCGCAAATGAGGTAAAGCCATGAAGCCCATTAAAAATAATTCTGACTTTTCAATTATAGGGTACTGCTGGATTCATGAGCAGCTCATGGAACCTAATAGCAAAAAACTGTACAGCAGTGAGTTACTACTCATACTGCAGCGACGGAGAAAAATTACTGAAGCTAGTAAAAAAACCAAAACCAACCAAATCTAGACGCACCAAAAAAATCAGTAAGAATAGAACCATAACAGATAAAATACTAATTAAAAGTGTTATTTTAAATTTCTGAAGAAAAAGACCCCCCCACCCCCACCCCAAATCATAATAATTTTGGAGGAGTGGACAAAATATTAGTACATTTTGTACAAAATGTTTCAATATTTAAATTCAGAGACGCATACAATTTACATTCCTAGCTATGCCTCTAATCAATGCTTTTGCTTTTTGTATAATACCTACATAAATTATTGCAATTCACAAACCTATTGTCACTTAGATTGACGACTTTTAATTTTTGCATATCACCCATTTCCTCAGGCAGAAATTCAAGCTTGTTAGAATGCAGAAATAGTACCGTTACATGTTTCCAGTTTCCAATCTGAAAAAATAAATATGATTATTCAATTTAATTACTCTATATGTACTAATATTCACAATGTTTTAGAATACATTTAGTATCAAAATTATTTCTGCATATATTATATTATTTCATTTAATCACATGTAGTCTTAAATATGAAAAAGAATATGCCATTATGGTATATACTAAAAACAATTCTCTCTCTAATGTATTTCTTGCATACCACATGCCCCCAGATAAGTCATGCACCTTGTGGGAAGACAAAATGTAGGGGAAAAATGGGGTTTTTTTTCCAGAGTTATAGCTGCCTGTGTGACAGAATAAGTCCTCCTGGAAATACAAGAGCATCCAGGAAGTGTGGCATCCCAGGAGACCTTCTGGGTGAGATGGCAGGAAATTCCTGGTATAGCAGGGACACCAACAAGGCTGGGCCCCAGACCTTTGCAAGGACAGTAAAAGACTGTTGCTTTTTCACTGTAAATATTTATTTAATTTCCTTTAAACAATGAAATGTTTCACACCACAGGCCTCAGCAAGGTATTATAGACTGCCCGCAGCAGCTCAGTTGCTCTGAGCCAGCTCAATTGCTTATTCAGGCACAAGCTAAAATACATAGCCAGTATTAGCTATAAGAGGTTTATAACACAGGTTCTCCCCTGCTGCTTACTAAGCCAAAAAAGAAATGGCAGCCATTAGAACACAGCTTTGTCCTGCTTCTATTCCAGAAGAGAAAAACCAGGTTTGCTACTTAAGAGACACATCCTGATTTCGGAAGCCTAACCGGGAGGGGGAAGGAGAAGGTACTTGTGGTATACAAGTAAATGGGATCTTCAATCAAACAACTTAAATATTTCTTCTGCAAATAAATAGCTTGTCTTAAAACTATTTTAGCATTTGATTTCAATACTTCAAAGCCTGTGTATATGCATGCATGCATGCAAAAATTACATTTTAAAGGAATATTAGAAAGTTTGCTCAAAATCGACCACCTTGGATCCACATAAAACAAAGTGGAATTATGTTCACATTTAATACTGAGGAAATCAAACTATTATAATTGGCTCCGAGTAAAAACATACCTCTGGTGGCAATTGCGTTAAAAAATTATGATCTGCAGCAAAGGTCCGTATGTTTGTGAGCTGCCCAATAGACGAAGGCAAAGTTTCAATCTCATTGAAACTACAATCCAGTTCTTCTACTGATATTAATCTAAAAAGTTAAAGAAATTAAAAATATCAAACCTATATTGTATTTAAATAAGCATACCAGTTTAAAAACAAATATTAAATGTTGCATACAAGATCACATTCATTTGGAATTACATTTATGATTGGAACTTAAATGTTTTGGCAGCATAAAATATGCATTAAAATGATCAAATACTTCCTTGAACACTAATTTTCATGAATTCTCCCAAATCAAGCCAAAGCAGAAATTACTCTTAGCTATTTAGAATCATAGTAAATTAGGGTTGAAAGGAACCCCAGGAGGCCATCTAGTCCAACCCCCTGCTCAAAACAGGACCAGCCTCAACTAGATCATCCCAGCCAAAGCTTGGTCTAATTGAGTCTTAAAAATCTCCAAAGATGGAAATTCTACCACCTCTCCGCATAAGCTACTGCAGTACTTTACTACTTCCTAGTGAGAAAGCTCTTCCTAATATCTAGCGTAAACCTCCCTTGTGGCAACTTGAGATCATTGCTCTTTGTTCTATGCCACCACTGAGAATTTCCATTTCACTTCTTCAATCCTTCCTATGCCAACATAGTCCTTTCAATGTAGCTTTAAATCTGAGCTAAGGACACTGCTACCCTACTTCAGATTTTTTAGCATTGGATCATACTGGAGTTGTTCCTACCAAATAATAGAACTATTCCAGGTAAGAGTGCCAGAACCAGGAGACAGTCCTAGCTCCATTAATGGGTAAAGGATGAAGATATTTTTAATAGTTTAACAAGGATAGAGACATTTGCACTGAAGCATCAAACATGAATTCTGGTGAGCAAGCATAATTTAACAAGTTCCATAAAAGCAGATTCATAGAATGCTTGCAGCTTTTTAGTTGGTCGAATAAAAGATATCAGATTTACCCAGAGAACCTGATCTGCCTATGTCCTTAAATCAACACAGCTACAACCAATACCCCTAAAACTTTAAATAGACTTATTTGAAATAAAATAATGTCTACAGTATTTAAACTTTGAACCAATGATTTTCATTATTTTTTATTTTTGTTGTAAAAATTGTAAATATCAGAGGATGATAATAAAAATGGCTTCACTCAAACAATCTGGTCAGTAAATTTCATATAATGGTAGGGAAAAAATTGTATCCCACTGCCAAAATAGAACATACAAATACGTGGTATTTGAGATTATTCATTGCTAAAAAATTATATGATAGTAGCTGGAGTGTTTATCTCACTCTCACATATCTAACTATTTCTAACTCACATAACCAAAACTATGAAACAGATCTCCGTGCAACATGCTCCATTACAACAGTTTAGTTCAGGGGTTATCAAACCCTGGCACTATATCATTTGGCCTACAGGACTCACCATGGATCACTGGGAAGCCCTTGGGGCTGTGGCCCCATGTGTTAGATCAGGTGTTCAGGGCCTGATTCCAGTGTGCTGGGGTGTAATGGGGCCCCTAGAACCTGATTCCAGTCTGCCTAGGGCAGCATGGTGTCCTGAGCCTCCTCTGCCCAGCTAAATTGGGTCCTGGGGACCCACACAGCCCCTGCCTGGCCAGGATCAGGTCCTGGGGCCCCATGCCACACCTGTCCAGCCAGGTGGAGGCATCACAGGGCCCCAAGGCCAATTTGGGTAGTAAGGAGTTCCATGACACCCCCACCTTCAGGATTGGGCTCCAGGGACCCTGAGCTGCCCCAGTCCAGCCAGGATCAGACACCAGCCACAAGGAAGCAGCATGGAGCCCCCAAGGCCATCCTGGCATGCAGGGGGTTGTATGGAATCAAATTCAGCCCATGGACTGGTCTGCCAGGGGCCAAACCATGAGCACCACTGGTTTAGTTTAACAGTATTTTTAGTAAACATGTCTGCATTATTCTATCCTCCACTACACAACGTGTATGGATGCCTCAATTTCTGCAGGAAACAGCCCCTTAGAAATACAAAAAAGTGGTGTTAGATGTGAAAGCTTTTGGTTAAACTACATTAAAAGCAAGTCATTAAATCAAGAAAACTGATTTACACTTCTAGGATAGCAGAAGGATATTCAGTGGCAGAATTCATATCAAGCAGAGACAGGCACTATGCTACCCTAGAGTAGGTCAATGTTAATGAAGAACTTGCAGAAAAGCAAGACAAAGCTTTATTCAGGTGAAATACCTACCCTCCTATGGAGTCTGGCAAATACATTAACTGGTTTTCGTCAATTTTAAGTGTTGTTACTTTCTTTAGTGAACCTGTTATAAAATGAAAATCTAATAAAAATGGGCATTTAGGTAAGAAAAATATGATATTTACAAAATAAAGCTTTAGTCAAGAAAAAGAATTACTGGCATGGCACACTGGCTGCTGTACTCATGAACTGTCAAGAGATGTGTGATATGCATCTCCTTAAGAAATAAGCAGCTGAGTTTATGGTGCTTTCTTTTCATCTTAACACGTCAGTCATACAGAAGATATAAATCTCCTGTTTCTAGTCAAGTAAATCAAGTCAATACTTTCTCATTCATTTATGAAAAGTTTATCAAAATAAAGAACTCTATAGCCAAAAAATATAAAAACAATAATCAACTATGCATTATGTTTTTATTTAACATGGCTTGAATATTTATCAAAACAAGAGCTTTAAGACCATGTTTTGACTTCAGGTTCCAAGGGTTTCTATGCCTTTCCCATAACATTTTATACTATAGTTACCTTAATTTTTTAAGGCATTAATTATATGATGATACAAACCAATGGATTCTGGCAGTTGCTGAAGTGAATTACTAGATAACAGCAGATCTTGTAAGCTTTCACAGCCTGAGATTCCTTCTTCAACCATTTCAATGTTGTTTTTAGAAACATCCAAATAGGTCAGCTGTTTCAAAGTGCCTATGAACTAAAAAGGAAAAAGGGTTAATACTAACTTCTTGGAAACAAGCTAGTAGTGCTGACAGTGAACTCTCTCTAAAGTATTATGCTGCAGTAGAAGTAAAGCATTATTAGAATTACTGTGCTACTTGTATTCTATATCCATCATGCTATCAAATGTAGCATTTCTTTTTATGTAGAGGGCCTATCCTTAACCCACTGAAATCAGAGAGCCATTACATAGACCCAGTTTAATTCCTGGACATGTAAGAGGGTTAAGTAAAAAGTGATGAACAAAAAGTGACATACAATAACTGGTCTTCATATAAGCTCTCATAAAATACAGCGTGTGAATTCCAGTTTCATGTTATGTTAAAAATGAATATCAGTTTGTAATGTACAAGTTAATTGATGGGACAGGTACCACTGCAGAGTTGAAATATAGTGCATTTAAAACATCAGAAAGGCTTACCCCTGGGATAAGTGTTATTCTATTACCATCCATCCAAAATTCCTTTAACCCACTCAGTTGTTCAAGTACTTCAGGCTGTTAAAAGAAATAGTTTAAAAAAACCTGATACAAAGAAAGAAAATTTAAATGTAGCAATGAACTGATTTAGCAAATGACTGATTTGCTGTGTTACAACAGGAAAGCAGAAGGGGGTGTGTATATGGCTCAAATAAAACATTTTATTAAAAAAGTAAATACTTTAAACTAAGCACTTGTATTACAACTCTTCCAAGTAGGAGGAAGAAGGAAGGCGAGAGAATCTATTAATTTGTTTCTATTTAAATACAAATAGTTTATGTAAGACCAAAGAAAGAGGCAATACTGCTCAACATAGCATGTATGTAATGCCTTCTCTACTTATACTTTGTTCCTTGCTGGTATGCCAGGGAGGGGGGAGGGGGGAAGAAATACAAATAGTGTATGACAAAGGTGCCAGCTGCAGCTCAGCAGTTAGGTTTTGTACTTTATATATGAAGAATGTAGCATTTTGTCCATAGAATTACCAAAGTTGTTCCACTGGCAGCTTTTTTTCTAAGGATTTACAAGTAAATCTGCCAAAAAGCTTATGAATGAAAATTAAAGTTAAAATAGATCCCAGAAATTTAAAACTTTTTTTCCTCCAAAAAAGATATTACTGCAATAAGGGAAACCCAAGGAGGAGAACTAGAGGTTCAGGAAAACGAAGCATCTTGTCCAAGGTGAAAACCCAAGTCCCTGGGTACCTTTTATACAGAATTCTCTGCTACCATGGCTAGGTAACTACTAAGACTACAGCTAGCTAGTTTAAAGCTAGTTTGGATATTTCTACATTACTCTGTTGTCTCAGCAGTGACTGTAACGTAAACTTGCCTTCAGGATACTACCAGATCATGCTGCCTCTTACCCTGCTAGACAGCTACTTAGGTACAGCAGTTCTCAAACTGTTACCCTGGAGTGGAAGTGCATGCCTGTCGCAACAAACATGAGGAGAGGTGATCCACACATAGGAATAAAACTGAGAACTCCACATCAGTACTAACAGGAGATGTTTCCCAAAATAAAATCATCAGTATAACTCCCCATGAATCCAAATAGGTTACACATCTTATTCACTGAGGAAGGCATGCTCTTTGAGAACGGATCTTTGAGAACTCCTGGAGCTCTGGTGTAGTGCCCGAAGACTGGAAGAAGGCCAATGTGGTGCCTATCTTCAAGAAAGGGAGGAAAGTGGATCCGAGAAACTACAGGCCCATCAGCCTGACCTCTGTCCCAGGGAAGGTCTTAGAAAAGTTTATTAAACAGGCCAACCTTAATGGACTGGCTGACGCCAACATCCTGAGGGATAGCCAGTATGGGTTTGTTGTGGGTATGTCTTGCTTGACCTATCTCATTTCCTTTTATGACAAGGTGACCTATCACCTGGACAAGGTAGAAGAGATTGACGTCATATATCTTGACTTCAAAAAAGCCTTCAATCTGGTATCCCATGATCACCTCTTGGTGAAACTGGCCAACTGTGGCCCTGGGTCTACCACAATCCACTGGCTGGGAAATTGGCTCCGTGGTATGACCCAGAGGGCGGTGGTTGATGGAAGTCAATCATCATGGTACCCTGTGACCAGTGGGGTCCCCCAAGGCTCTGTCCTTGGACCCATATTGTTCAACATCTTCATTAATGATGTGGACACTGGAGTCAGAAGCGGACTAGCCAAGTTCACCGATGACACCAAACTCTGGGGCAAAGCATCCACACCTGAAGACAGGAGGGCGATCCAGGCTGACCTGTACAGGCTCAGCAAATGGGCAGACGAGAACCTGATGGTGCTGTGACTGATAAAGTGGGCAAAACGCTGGCTTGCATCCATAGATGCTTCTCAAGCAAATCCCAGGACGTTATTCTCCCCTTGTACTCAGCCTTGGTGAGGCCGCAGCTGGAGTACTGCATCCAGTTTTGGGCCCCACAATTCAAAAAGGATGTGGAGAAGCTTGAGAGAGTTCAGAGAAGAGCCACGCGCATGATCAGAGGTCACGAAAACAGACCTTACAACGACAGGCTGAGAGCCAAGGGGCTCTTTAGCCTGGAAAAGCACAGGCTCAGGGGTGATCTGATGGCCACCTAAAAGTTTATCAGGGGTGACCACCAGTATCTGGGAAATGTTTGTTCACCAGAGCGCCTCAAGGGATGACGAGGTCGAACGGTTATAAACTACTGCAAGAGTGTTTCAGGCTGGACGTAAGGAAGAATTTCTTTACTGTCCGAGCCCCCAAGGCCTGGAACAGCCTGCCATCAGAGGTGTTTCAAGCACCTACATTGAACACCTTCAAGAGAAATGTGGATGCTTATCTTGCTGGGATCCTATCATGTATATGAGAGCCCAACAGGAAAAATTATGCTGAGGGGAAACCAGCACGGGTTCACAGCAGGTAGATCATGCCTGACTAATCTAGTCTCTTTTTACGACCAGGTTACAAAACACCTGGATGCAAGAGTAGGGGTTGACGTCGTCTACTTAGACTTCAGGAAGGCCTTCAATACAGCATCCCACCCCATACTGGTGAACAAGTTAAGAGGTTGTGATTTGGATGATTACACAGGGTGGTGGGTAGCAAATTGGTTAGAGGGTCGTACCCAGAGAGTGGTGGTGAATGCGTCGGTATCAACCTGGAAGGACGTGGGCAGTGGGGTCCCACAGGGCTCGGTCCTTGGACCAATATTCTTCAATGTCTTCATCAGTGACTTGGACAAGGGAGTGAAGTGTACTCTGTCCAAGTTTGCGGATGATACAAAACTGTGGGGAGAAGTGGACACACCGGAGGGGAAGGAACAACTACAGGCAGACCTGGACAGGTTGGACAAACGGGCAGAAAACAATAGAATGCGATTAACAAGGAAAAACGTAAATGCTGCACCTAGGGAGGAAAAATGTCCAGCACACCTACTGCCTAGGAAATGATCTGCTCAGCAGCACGAAAGCGGAAAGGGATCTCGGAGTCCTAGTGGACTCCAAGATGAACATGAGTCGTCAGTGTGATGAAGTCATCAGAAAAGCTAACTGCACTTTATCGTGCATCAGCAGATGCATGACATACAGAGCCAAGGAGGTGATACTTCCCCTCTATCAGGCGCTGGTCAGAACGCAGTTGGAATACTACATGCAGTTTTGGGTGCCACACTTCAAGAGGGATGTGGATAACCTGGAGAGGGACCAGAGAAGGGCCACTCGTATGGTTAAGGGCTTGCAGGCCAAGCCCTACGAGGAGAGACTGGGGCACCTGGACCTCTTCAGCCTCCGCAAGAGAAGGTTGAAAGGCGACCTTGTGGCTGCCTATAAATTCATCATGGGGGTGCAGAAGGGAATTGGTGAGGCTCTACTCACCAAGGCGCCCCTGGGGGTCACAAGAAATAATGGCCATAAGCTAGCAGAGAGCAGATTTAGACTGGACATTAAGAGAAACTTCTTCACAGTTAGAGTGGCCAAAATCTGGAATGGGCTCCCAAGGGAGGTGGTGCTCTCCCCTACCCTGGGGGTCTTCAAGACGAGGTTAGATGGGCATCTGGCTGGGGTCATCTGAACCCAGCCCTCTTTCCTGCCTATGCAGGGGGTTGGACTCGATGATCTATTGAGGTCCCTTCTGACCCTAACATCTATGAATCTATGACCCCAGCTGACTTCCTGCCTCTCGAGCAGGGGGCTGGACTCAATGATATTCCGAGGTCCCTTCCAGCCCTAATGTCTATAAAATCTATGAAATCTTTATGGTTTACTATGTATTAGTCTGCCATACGGATACAAGTGAACACTTCCACAATGTAATGATGTAGTTACTAAATAAAGAAACCATATACCTACAATTTAAATGCACATTAAAAAACAGCTTCCATCAAATGTTACATTCCTAGTGGACAAGATGCTTGCTGCACATTAGCTTAATGCACAGTAGTGTGGCGGTTAAAAACTGAGCTAATAGCCTACTGCGCAGTGTTATTAGGCTAATGCGCAGTAAGCATCACAAAATCTTTTTTAAAGAGAGGAAAAATATATTTACAGACAGATTTTTACAGTAGGTTCCACAATACTGTAAGAGGTATATACAATATTTGTTTAGTAACAGAGCTCTTAAGCTGATTTTTATATTTTTAATGTTGATTAAAAATAGATTTAAGGATAAAGAAGTATAAGGATGATTCAAATCTCTGCTACTTAGCTAAAACTCACCACTTCTGTGAATTCATTACTTCCTAAGTCCAGTCTTTCCAGCTGAGTCAGTCTGGACATAGTTCTGCACAGGGAATGAATTAACAAGGAATCAGATTTAAGAAAATACAAGACTTTCTGCAAATTCCTGTATTCATACTAATATATCTTTAAATCAGCATTAAATAATGAGACAGTTCTGTAAACAGACTGATACTTAGAAAGGTACTGATACTTTGCATACATTATTCAATCAAATAACCTCATAATGATCCTATTGACTAAATCACACAAAGGAAATTAGAGTGCTGTGTAATCTTGTATCATTTAGTTGAATTTACCAAAAATTAAATTATAAGCAATATAGTCTTTTCTGTCAAAGTGACTCAGCAAAGCTACTCTTCTTTTTTACTTCCTCCCATTTCCCACACTTCACTGTAGAATGCTAGTTAACCATCTGCTTTCTTCATATACCAACACGAGCATTATATAATAAGAATTGCTATAGCAAACAAGACTATAGTTGATACCTGGAACCGACTAATACTTTTCCATGGCTGCTAGGATAACTCGTATAATTTGCTGCCACTATCTGTGGTTTAGAATCCTGAAAATTCTTCTGGAATAGGAATCTTCTAGTATGAGGGTACATTCTTTGACTATACTAGATTTCATGACGTGCTCGATTCTAGTTTTACCCGCATAGTTCACATGAGGGCATTTAGTACATGGATGAGATGCACCATATCTTGGGAGAGATATTTGTAGGATTGTGTAGCAGGACACTAAGGTGCCTGCTACTGTGAGAGCCAGGAAGGCTCGTCAGGTGCCGGTCGCCAAGGCAACAAAAGGGGGCTAATGGGTTACACCTGCCTAGCCAGCTGAAAAGGGGCAGGGCCTGGCCTATATAAACCACAGGCAGGAGGCCAGGCAGGGGGTTCCCTACCAGCAGCCAAGGCAGAAGGAGCTCCCTGCCAGAAAGAGAAGACAAACTGCCCTGCCAGAAAGAAAGGAGAAGCAGAGCTGGGATGCCAGAGCAGAGTTGGTCACCACTGGGTGACAGAGAACCCTGGTAGGCCTGAGTGCAGTTTAACTGGAGGCTTATGTTTGCTTTGTAGCCCAGGGGCTTGTGTTTATGTTGCAGTTTGTTTACACCGGTGGTTTGGGTGAGGCTATAAGGGGACGGAGGAGTCCTCATAGGGGACTCATGGTAGAGTGAGGACCCCAACCCCAGTGAGGGCACGGAGTTCAGGGGTACAGACCCCAGCTCCAGAGGAGAGCCCGGTGAGAGGGGGCAACCTTGCAGAGGGAAGAGCCCGGTGAGAGGGGCAGCATTATGGAGAAGCCCTAGTGTGGGTGTGGAGAGCCCCAGTGAGAGGGGCAGCAGTACAGAGAAGGCCTATAAGGCTTAGAGATACAGAACACCCGGAGCAGGAGAACTGTGGCCAAGTGGAAGAGAGGTAGCCTCCCTATAAAAACACAGATATCATCAAAGTTGTGGCAGGCGAGAATAGGAGGGTGCAAGTCCGAAGCTTGGCACAGTAGAGGAGGCGACAGGGGCTAGCACAGTGACCCCGCCGTCCCTCCCGTTTCAGATTCATTGATTCTGATGGCTTTGTTGTGTGGGGGATATTGACTGCTGTAGCAGCCAAGATGTGTTATGCATCTATTGTGCATGTCCCATTTGATGTTTGTTAATCCGCAGGA